ATTTTAGAAAAAAGACACAAATTATTGGCCGAAATGTGTCCGTATAAAATAATAAAAATCCTAATAAGGCGTAAAATTCATTGGTGAGGCACTGCCTCACCTGCCTCATAGGACAAGCCGCCCCTGTGCTCAGCCCAATTTTGAAGACGTGGTACAAGAGAGACAAAAACGAAGTAAAAACGTCATGATTTACAATGTTCCCTAGCAGCCTGAAACAATGTCTCGTGATGAGCGTTTAATGTCTAAGACGAGTGACATCTCTAACATCCTGCAAGTAACTACTAATGATGTAAATATCACTAATATTAGTTTACAGAGGTTAGGTAAATTTATTCCTGGTCGCTGTCGCCCAATTAAGATCTTCCTTCAGTCTGAAGTGGAGGTATTAAACATAGTTTAGGTGGTAAAACGCTAACCAAAATTTGTCGAATCATCCCCACCACTAATGCGATGACGACCCTTCAAAATTGTACATAGTAAATGGGTTTTAAATTGTATAAAATAACATAGTCCTACACATGTAGTTTACGACTTCGAATTGAGTTTTTACCCGAAACGTCCAGATTTTTGGAAAAAAAATCAAAATTATAAAACAACATTTTGCGATTTAATTTTGAATCTGCTAACCCGAATGCTTTGAAATGTTGCAGATGTTTTAAGGCTATAAAGAGCATCATAAATCTTTAGTCAAAATATATTTGGTTATCCCCTCCAAAAACTTGATTTGCCGAATAAATCCCATCAAAACTGTACAAAATATGATGAGTCTGTACTTGTGATTTATCACTCCATTCATATTTTTTGAATTTGCGTATACAGGGTGACTCAAAAAAATTAAAGAATGGGTAAATTTATTTTACTGATTTATACAGGAACTACAAAACCGAATGCTTTGAAATCTTGAAGATGTTTTAAAATTATCATAAACATGGTAAATTTTTGATCAAAATGTATTTGGTCGTCCCCCCTAAAAAAATTATGACGTCACCACAAAATTTTGCTGAATAAATCCTAACTTAAATGTACAAAATATGGTAAGTCTCTTCTTGTGATTTATCATTCCATTCAAATTTTTTCGATTTGCATATACAGGGTGACTCAAAAAAATTAATGAATGCGTGAATTTATTTTATAGAGTTAATCAGGAACTACAAAACCCAATGCTTTGAAATCTTGCAGATGTTTTAAGGTTATAAAAAGCATAATAAATGCTTAGTCAAAATATATTTGGTTATCCCCTCCAAAAAAATGATGACGTCAGCTCAAAAATTGCCCAAATAAATCCCATCTAAACTGTACAAAATATGATGAGTCTGTACTTGTGATTTATCACTCCGTTCATATTTTTTGGATCTGCATATACAGGGTGACTCAAAAAAATTAATTAATGCGTGAATTTATTTTACTGATTTAATCAGGAACTACATAACCGAATGCTTTGAAATCTTGAAGATGTTTTAAAGTTATCATAAGCATGGTAAGTTTTTGATGAAAATGTATTTGCTCATCCCCTCTAAAAAATGTATGACGTCACCACAAAATTTTGCTGAATAAATCCTATCTAAAATGTACAAAATATGATGAGTCCCTTCTTGTGATTTTTCATTCAGTTCATATTTTTTCGATTTGCATATACAGGGTGACCCAAAAAAAAAATGAATGCGTAAATGTATTTTATTGATTTAATCAGGAACTACCAAACCGAATGCTTTGAAATCTACTGCGAAAAAAAAACATAATAGGCATGCAGTCGTCACGTTTCCGACAGCGAGGGAAGTACCGTCTAAACTCCTTAGACCAATTTTTTTAAATACTTTTCGATATATTGTAGCAAAAAATTTTGCCGGTGATCCGAAAACATATATTTCTAAATAGAAATGCGGTTTGTAACAGAAGATACAAAATACAGTGCCTTCTTGAAGAACAAATTCAGGAAAAGACCAGTACAGGGCACGGTTGATAAAACCGTTAATTTTTAATTTAGAAGAGTCGAGTGATGATGACAGTGACAATTTCGATCAATAAATAAGCAGTAGTAGTTAATAAGCAAATAGTTGTGTATGTCAAAATTCTAATTAATTTGCTGTAATAAAAAATGATTGAGTACAAAGTTACTTTGTTTTTACCTAAAATAAAAAAATCGAAAGGCACAGTTGTCGGTAAATGCAAAACTCAGTCCTGCCCTGTGCTTTTACCAGAAAAGTTCTTTTCAGGTAGGTATCGGTGAGCGGGTTTAAGACATCCGGCTGTGACGGCCTATTGAATTATAATGGGAGTCAAATTGGTGTGAAGCCATAAACGCCTTATATGTTTGAGGGAAGTCTACAGTAGAACTATTTGCATTAGAAGTATTAGAATTAAAGAGTCTTCAGCCCATTCAGTAATTTAAAAGATATTTTAGGTTGTACCTTTTCTAAGCTTTTCAATTTCTGTGTTGTAAATATACTAGGTATACTACGAATTTGTTTAAATTAAGATTTTTTCCATTTTTAACATGCGATATATCTTTCTTACATTTACCTACTTATTTTTTATGTCACAAATTTGAAAGAACAAATATCTACCTTCTTAATAGATCTCAAGTCGTATCCTGTCATGGTTCTATTTCTAAACCTCTTACAATAAAAAGAAGTGTACCTCAAGAACCTGTACTAGGTCCTGTCTTGTTTTCTATTTATACGGCTGACTTCCCTAAATATCGTCAACATTGTCAACTTCATATGTATGCTGACGATTTTCAAATTTATTATTCTTTCAATGTATCTGAACATAACGCTCCAGAAAAATTTAACTCAGATCTTGAACGTTCACGTGAATGGAGTTGTAAGAACTGTCTTTCCTTAAATCTTGCAAAAACTATTTCAATTACTTTAGGCACACCAAATAAAATAAGAGCAATAAACTCAGATCTTAATCTTCATATTGGAGTAGTTGGGTTACATATTGACAATCAGCTAAAATTTACTGACCATATAAATAAGATTTGTCAAACTACATTTAATGGATTCAAATTGATTTCCCCTTATAAGAACCTTTTAGACATTCGCTCCAAACGCCTTTTGACTAATACCTTGACACTTACTCCCCTTAAATTTAGATAAATGTTATATTATGTCAACTTTTAACATAAAATCTAACATCAGTTTTAAGTACCAACTGAATAAGCGTTGTATTAAACGTGTGACTCAGATTAAGAATTTAGAAGTTATTTTTCCACTCATCACTTTCGTTTAAAAGTCATTATTCCTATATATCCAAAAAAGCTTTGAACATGTGGGGGTTTATTTGGCGAAATTGTCATGAGCTTTCACCTTTGGTCCTCAAAAGTTTCTATTGCTCCTTAGTTCGGTCACACTTAGATTATTGTTCACCTGTTTGGTCACCTTTATATAATGTTGATCGGGAGTTGCTAGAAAATGCTCAGGACAAAATTTTTGAGAGTTCTCGAATTTAAAGTTGGCTTCAAACATATTAAAGGCGACTACAATTGGATTCAACATCATTTTAATACACAACCCCTATATATTCGAAGATCTATAACGGATGCTTCTGTTCTGCACGGGATATTAAATGGTCGTATTGACCATCCATCGCTGCTATCAAGACTCTCCTTCTTGTACCCTGCCGTCAACAGCCGCACAACTCGAAATAAAGATATTTTTAGGGTGGCACCATCTACATCGAATATAGGTCGTAATCATCGTTTACATAGAATGATGCTAGCTGCAAATAATGTTTATTCAAACAACAGCAACATATCGATATTTGATTCTCCTTTGATCAAATTTAAATTCAAATTTCGTTATTTTATAACAGTAGATTTTAGTTCATTATTTATTGTTTTTATATTAGTAACCGCCAATCCATGAATATTTTTTTGAATAGTTAAATAATGAACTAAAAACTACTGTTATAAAATGACGACATTTTGAATTGAAATTTGGTCAAAGGAGAATCAAACATCGATATGCTGCTGCTTTTATTTTATGAAGCAAAATGAAATAAACAATCCATTTTGACGTTTTGATGAATCGATAATACTATGTATTTGAATTTAGTCGATATCAATAGTTAATGTTTGAAGCAAATTTTTGCGTTGGCAATTCTGAATTATTTGCCAAAAAACGCTGGTACCTCTGTTTACAGTTGTCAATTTTAACATGACCACGGGTAACAAATGTGTTGATTCGTTAAGACGATGGCATCTGCTTTGAAATTCAGTTTGGCCATTATTAAATTTTAAATGGGTTGCCAACCTGATAAAAAAAATCACATTCATTAATAGTCACCTGGTAGTTATTGATGTACCAAGGATGAAAAACTGCGTATTATACGCAAGTCTGCAGTTTGGAAGTCGAGGCGTCGACGACGACAGCAAGCAGGCGAGATTATAACAGACACTTCTTTACAGAGGTGCACATTACATTTTCTTTTGATCTTCTCGGTTCTAGAAAATTAAAAACCCATACATGCTTTTTAAGTGCTACAATTCTTTATTTTAATCATAAAACTAAATTTAAAGTTAGTCACCAAGACTAATATTCCTGCGGTCGAGTAGGACGCAAAGGACAAATTCTGATTTCTTGTGCTTGATAACGCAACTTCGAAATCGTAGGTTTATAAGCAACATTATTTCCAATTTTAACCTGTTGAAATGCTGTTGACTTTTGAACCTTATGTTTTTGACAGCACTTCTTCGAAGTTTTATATTAGTTTTCATAACAGACATGTGACTTCCGTGCAAGTAAGTCTTTTGTAGTTGCACGCGCCACCTTTTGCAATTCCGGGGCTGTGTCATCATTTTATTAAATTATTATTATTATTATTATTGTTAACCATTAATATTCACATGCATATACAAGCTGACAGACTAAATTAGAAAAAAATAATAAAACAATGAACAGTAACAGGGGATGCTTGTGTTAACTACTTCGTAGGTCTATATTTTAAAACGAATTATAATTTTTCTCGACTTATAAACATTGTTGATTCTGTTTCAGACTTTCAAAAAACGCAAAGGAACAACAGACAAGGGCAAGAAATACGAAGATTTGGTTATCGCTAACGTCGCACTACAAATGGTAAGCGACAGTAAAATAAAAGACTTTCGCCTTTCTTCGAACGATGCAAATTTTGGTGATTTTGATGACGTGGTTATAGAAATTGAGACAGATAGAGGAAAAAAAACAAAAGCACTGCAATTAAAACACAGTAACGAAAAAAGACAATTAACTACAAAGCAGCTAGCAGGCAAAAAGGGAGACTTTAGTTTAATCAAATATTTCAAATCTGCTCAAGAGGTTCAAGGCAAAGCACAAGAATTTATATTATTCACCACAAATACATTTGAAACTTCAGAAGAAACAAAATTTAAACTAGAAGGAGAAGAGTTTTACCTGAAGCCGATAAAAAAGACAGTTTCAGGAGACGATTTCGACGTTTTAAGAATTTCTGAAAATATAAATTATTATCATACATTTCACATCCTAGAGGACGAATGGACTAAACAAAATCCTGAAAAAATTCAGCAGTACCGAACATTCTTCGAAAGCTTTCGTCTTTACACAAACCAAGATCGTTTTGAAGCTCTTACAAAAACGACAATGAATAGATTTATTGAGACGTTTTGCTCTAACGAAGAAACTTTCATGAAGTACGTCTACGTCATATCAGAATGGAGTATGCGAGATGGAAAAAAAGAAAAGCTAAGCAAAAAAATGATGCAACGTGCAATTGCACTTCGTTTGCTTTCTTCTCAGATTGAACCATTTGTTTTTGGTTCTGTCACAGACGAAAAGAAAATACTTCGAGAGGCTATTTGTCTGTTCGACATTACGTTGTTGGAAAAAAAAGGCAGCAACGCAATTCAAAATCTGTGGGGCGACTTGGACAAAAGCCTCGACCTTAAGGAACTAAACAAAGTTCGATCACTTTATTCTCTTTCGTCTAATAACATAAGTAGTGTCGAAAATCTGGATGCAAATTTGTTGACACAATTGCTTTGGCTGATGGAGAAATGTCCACTCATTGTGAAAGAACACGAAAATATGGAGAAAGCTATTAACCTCTGTCCAGATGCAAAATTTATTATACTTGGCGAAGGAAAATATGAAGAATGGATGAAAGAACGCTCTGTCTTTCAAAACTTATCCAACTTGAAATGGAAAGGTGAATTGTATGACAAAATACTACAAAATTTCACCATTTCTTTACAAGGGAAAGAAGTAATTAAGTTAGCGACCGCTTTTGTAAAAAATGAAGAAATTTTCATACATGTTACTGTGAAAAAACTTTTAGAGATGGCAAATGGTCCATGCCATATAGATGGACAAGAGGAAGTTTTTCCCAATCTTTATGTCGATAGATATTTGTCTGTCAATATTATAGACACTAAATATTTAGAAGCGGTTGATCGAAATACTGTTATCGTTTTAAATTGCGAAGGTAATTCCCAGGAACTGAAAATATCTAAAGATCATACTCTAACAGATGTTGACGGTTTTTTAAGTAATACAAACCCCAAAATTTTGAATGATCCAATTTTTATAAAATGTGAAAAAAATTGCAGTGATTCTGATTTTCAGAAAATATGTTCTAAAGCAACAGCATCAAAAACTGTACACTGTTTTAAATTTCTCAACGATCAAAATTTAGAATGGATTGGAAGCAAAGGATCTGTTAATAAACTGCGAAAATATAAATTACGTAGTCGTTCCAAAGACGAAAACGAAATTTGGGCTTCCGAATTCAGCAACAACATAAATCTAATAACAGCTGACCCAGGAATGGGCAAAACCGAGTTAACGAAGAGTCTAAAAAACAAGTGTATTGCGAGATATTGGACCGTGATTCTAAGTGCTCAAGATGTTAATTTTTTAATAGAAAATTCAGCAAAGTTAGATAAATTAGAACAATTCCAAACATTCATTTTAAGTAAAAAATATCGACACCTGTCTAGCCTGGATCTAGAATATTTGAAACTGTGTTTAAAGCAACGCAATGTGGTTTTTGTATGGGACGCTCTTGATGCAATTTTTACTCACTATTTAAATAGGACTTTAGATCTCATTGTTATGTTGTCGCAGTCAGGTTTCATTCAGTGGGTTACTGCAAGGAAACATTTGAGATCTTCTCTTGAAGAAAAATTTAATACTCTGTCAGTGAGTATCAATCAGTTTAGCGAAGTCGAGCAAGAAAAGTATATTAATAAACGCCTTAACCGTTTTATTGCGCCTGTAGATTTGAAATCAACGATAGACAAAATTAAATCCACGTTTGCATTTACAAACCATTTAGATATATTAGGAATCCCACTTCAAATCTATATGCTTACAGAGGTATTACTTCAAAAGAAGAAACAATATTTAGAGTTATTAAGCAATAAATTTCTCGTGACTGACATGTATGGTTACTTTATAAAAAGAAAATTTAACCTTTTCTACGAAGGCAAAGATTTTGGGAAAGAAAGTGTAAGGGAAAAAAAGGAAAAGAAATTAAAACAATACGAAAAGTTGGCGCTTCAAAAAATATTTCCTAAAGATGTTTTGGAACAATTAAAGATAGATTGTTCTCAAGATATGGATTCTGTTTCTGAAGATTTCGCAACTGTTGGTATCGTGACTGGACTACAAAACGGCATTCCGCAATTTGCACACGCTTCCTTTGCCGAATATTTTGTAGCCTTATTTTTTTCTAAAAATTTTGCAATGGTACGCAGAGGCATATTTTTTGATAAAAAGTATAATAATGTACGTTTCTTCTTCGACATGCTAACTGGCAAAAATTCACCGGTCCACATCGCGATTTTATACAGAAATTTTGATAAAGTAGAGAACTTTCAGGATCAAATATTAAAAGGTAAAGATGAATGTGGAAGAAGTGCCTTACATCTCATTTGTTCTTGGGGACGAAGACATGGGCGTTTAAATGTAGAAACCAAATCTGAGGGTTATGTTATTGAAGCAAATAGGGAGATTATGAGTAGTTCATTAGAAACGAAAGAATATTTTAAAGCGTTATTGTTTTTGTTAGATAAATGTGATAAATTAGGACAAGATTCATTGCATAAAATCACACCTTTAACATGGGCACAAGAAAGTGAAAGTTTGGGAGCGGAACTGGAATTATTAGAATCAGGCAAACTACAACTGAAAGATTCGGATAGTCCAACAGACAAAATTAATGTTTTATTTTTCGCCGCTTTGCACGGATACGCAAAAGTATTTCAAATGTTTGTTAACAAAAAAATGTTTTCACCTTGGAGTAAAAAAGCAGTAAATTTTAGTATTAAATTCGATGGTAGTACGCCTCTTATAATAGCTTCTCGAAAGGGGCACCTAACAATTGTAGAGTATTTAGTCACATGCAAAGCCGAAATCAATCGCGCTAATGAAGATGGCGAGACACCACTTTACGCAGCGTCCTCGAAAGGTGACGAAAAAATTGTCGAATGCCTGATGAAAGGCGGAGCAAAAATTAAACCCGCTAATCATTATGACAACACATTGCTTTACGCAGCTTCCTTTCAAGGTCACAAAAAAATTGTCGAATGCCTGGTGAAATGCGGAGCCAAAGTCAATTGCGCTGATGAATATGGTCGAACACCGCTTTACGCAGCTTCTTGGAAAGGCCACGAAAATCTTATCGAATATCTAGTGAAATGCGGAGCCCAAATCAATGGCCCTGATAAATATGGTGAGACACCGCTTTACGCAGCTTACTGTCAAGGGCACGAAAAAATTGTCGAATGCCTGGTGAAATGCGGAGCCAAAATAAATCGCATTCTAGTAGGTGGTAAGACACCGCTTTACGCAGCTTCCTCTCAAGGTCCCGAAAAAAGTGTCGAATGCCTGATGAAATGCGGAGCCGAAATCAATCGCGCTGATGAATATGGGCGAACACCGCTTTACACAGCTTCCTGGAAAGGCCACGAAAAAATAGTCGAATACCTGGTGAAATGCGGAGCCGAAATCGATTGCCCTGATGAATATGGTCGAACACCGCTTTATGCAGCTGCCTGGAAAGGCCACGAAAAAATTGTCGAATGCCTAATGAAATGCGGAGCCGAAATCAATGGCGCTACTAAATATGGTGTGACACCGCTTGAAGCAGCTTCCTCTCAAGGTCACCAGAAAATTGTCGAATGCCTGGTGAAATGCGGAGCCGAAATGACTCACCGTGCTGAATATGGTCGAACACCGCTTCACGCAGCTTCCTCTCAAGGTCACGAAAAAATTGTCGAATGCCTGGTGAAATGCGGAGCCGAAATCAATCGCGCTGATAAAAATGGTCGGACACCGCTTTACGCAGCTTCCTCTCAAGGTCACGAAAAAATTGTCGAATGCCTAATGAAACACGGAGCCGAAATCAATCATGCTGATAAATATGGTGTGACACCGCTTGAAGCAGCTTCCTCTCAAGGTCACGAAAAAACCGTCGAATGCCTGGTAAAATGTGGCGGAAAAATTGTTAGTTCAACGGCGATCCAAAACTCCTCCGCGCTGAGTCGGACTTTCAAAATTCTATCACTATCCGCGGCCATATTTTTTTTTTTAATAATTTTGTTTCCAAAATTCTTTCGATCAATCGCAAATACTTTTCTTTTGATCCCCAAGAAAAAGTAATATATTTTAATAAATAAGTCTCTATCCATAATCCTGAAGTACCTACCTATAACAAATTATTTTAATTCAGAATTTCATTTCTGTTGATAAAGTCCCCCAAATATGTCTCCATATGCCCTACATAATTTGGATGATCTTCTTGGGTTATTGCCTCAGAAGCATTGTGTACTTGAATATTGTATATAAAACTCGTCTTCGTTTCTACACTGACTTTTTTTAATCACTTGCCAGTCTTGCCACTAATTAATTAATTCCCCAATGGGGTTTGATCTGTAGATTTCAAAGAGGGCTGCGCACGTCGTTTCCACACTTCGACCAAGTCTTATGCAACTGGATTAAGAAAAGGCCTATATGGGGGTAGAAATACAGGAAATCAACTGTTGAATCTTCAGTTCTGTGAAATCTTACATTGTTCATTAACATATGTCCGTGCGCCCCTAATATTGTCTTCTTGTAGGTGATTTAAAAGGGTTTTTAAAAATTCGCAATCGAGTAATTATGGCCTCTCAGCTGAGCTTTAACTTTATTTGCGCTACAGTTACTTGGTGATCTTCCGTACGACCTCCTGGATTGTATCTACCTATGTCCCAAATTCATCAGTAAAAAAATTGATTAGTGAAATTACTTAATAGGTCTGTTTATGGTAGATGAGCTTATTTCTAGTTGAGGATTTTCCTCTAACAATTTAATTTTAATTTCTATTAGAGTTAAATACAGTCTTTATCAACCCAACGAAACTGTTTTGTTAACAAAAAGAAACTGTGTTGACACAAAGCAAAATAGTTTGACAAACATAGAGCACTATTTAATAAAAGTAGCAAATAGATTTGATAATTCGCGGAACACAATTGACGAAAGACAAAAATCAAAAGTAAAATACTATTTTATGATGGACATCTTTGTAAACATACCTATATCATTCATCTGTCTTCAGAAATTGTGAAGATTTGTATTGTGTTATCTATCTACTCTTATATTTAAACTTATATTTTAGATTCACACAATTTTCACATCTATGGAAAATATAGCCACAAGCTAAATAATTCACTTTCTTTTATGGCTACATATTTCAACTGAATAAACTAATTTGACATGACGACTTCTTTTATAAATACTTTCTTTATAGTTTTTTCTGAAGTACCATTTTCGGATTTTTTAACTTTCATCAAATTTATTTTATTCTATTCACACAAAACTTAAACTTTCGATAAATTGTTTTGATACTGTTCCAAATTTTAATTAGTTGACGATCGCATAAGTATCGCATTTTTTTTAATGAAATTTTTCAACTACCTATATTTTCGGCCAAATTCAGCTACACTTCAAATTTTACTTTAGGTGAGCCATCATCTAAATATATTTGGTGTTATCTAACTATGAAATTTCAGTGTTTTTCGTGAGGCCTTCACAACAACACGAAAAGAGATGCAGCAAAAACTGGCGTACGTCGTACTATCCAACTTGAAAAATACAAATAAAACACATAAACTAAGGTAAGTAAAATGTAAAAATATTTTGAAATTAACTTTATAAATTTGGTTTAACTCTTCAGTACGGGTGTTTTCTTAATTTAAAAAAAAATTGGAACCAAAACTTCTGTGTTTCGTCAAGAACTAATATTGGAACAATGTTTACAAAAATACTTCCATTTCAAGATGGATTGTGAAAAACTTTATAAAATAACATTTAATACCAACTAATTTAAAAGAGGTAAATTTCCCTACCGAAGTAGGTACCTACTTATTTTTATTGATCTCATTTTGCATTATAGACTTTTCCTGGCCAGCAGAACAACGAATTTAAAAACCGCAAGTGGTGCTGTAATTTCGTATCTTCACAAAATATGTCTTAGGCGGAATCAGGTTTCTAACCTCAACTTTTAACAAGTGTTTTTAATACCGCTAACTGACCTGGACAATATCAATAGAAGAGCGTTTTAAGGTAAGTTTTATAACTTTAAAATTTCACAGTACCACAAAATATTCAAAATTGCAGCAAAACATACGCTAAGAGAATTCCAAACCAGAGAATTTAGGGGAAATAAATACACCATCAGGAGGAACTTCATCTTGTCATCCTAGTGGTTACAAATAGTCTATACATTCCGAAATCAGTGCATAGAAAACAGTATTGTGCGATAGAAAAACATTTTAATCAGATTCATATTATTTATATGGCCTAACCGTTCACAGGTAACATCATTTAACAGATTAATAACACATTCACTTTGATTGAGATAGTTTTCCATCGCACAATTAAGTCTAGTTCTAATATGTAGTATAATGATAACTTTATTATTTGCAAGTAGTGTTGTAAATGGTTGCTCCAATGTGTAACTTATTTCGTCTGTGTGTGTCTTTTTGTCAGAATCGCTCAACGGATGCAGCATTCATGTTAAAGATCGAAGCATGAACAACCCGTGCTAAAGCCCACGTGATGCTATTAACATTTCAGGATACGTTTCATCTAACAAATGGCAACGCTAGATTCGTTGTTCACGCCTTCAAAACGCGTTTTTGTATTTGCATCTGTTCGGCGCTTCGAATACAAAATATTTAACAATTTTGAAATGTAAAGTGCCATGATACCTTTTAACTACTTACTTATAGTCAGAATTAGCAAGAAACGACTTCAAGGCAGTTTTCCATCGTCGAATATTTTTCTCAATATGCATCCACTCAAGTTGCATAACTAAAATAAACATTTTGTACCAAGCCGTGGTTCTCATCCAGCGTCGAAGTGGCTTGTGGTTAAAATTTGTTCATAGTGTTTTAAGCATTTCACAATGATTTCCCAAAAACATACTCCTTTCCTTTAACAAACTGACAAAGTTTGTTTCAGAGAAGAACTGGGAAGTTTACTGTGACCAAATACTGAAGATGCGTAAGCGTAGCAACTACGAAACTATCTTTCTTCTTGAAAATTGGTACACATGTGAAAAAACACTTAACAGAATCAAAGCACGTAATTGAAGCAGGTTTTCTTTTGGAGATTAGTTGTTGATAGAAGGTGTAAAAATCTGAATTGGAGCAAAAATACCGAAGACGGACTGCAACCTTATCGTATTTCTTCATTTAATCATAGTTTTGTCAGTTTATTAAAAAAAGTATCATGACACATGTGAGCGACATTTTTACTTTGTAGTGGAAATATGTACTTACAAGTATTGTAGTTTATAAGTTTATTACCAGTAATGTAACGGTGATTACTCTAACCAAGGACTTCAATAAACCTATTATCTAAAGATTGTAATCAATCTGTACCTATAGTGTTAATATCACGGTGTGTAAATATGTAAAAAATTAATTAATGTGTACATATCCTGAAATAGATTGTTGTTTGCTATTAAACATTAGAGTAAACTTCATTTTTTACAATTTTTAATTAAGTTGGTTTTTATTGGAACGAAGTTCCTTACGGCAGGCTTGGAGGGGATAGCGATTTTGCTGCGCGACCGAACTGAAGAAAATGTGATAGTAAAACCGTAAGAAAAATTCCGTGGAATAAAACCGTTAAATGAGACGTGCGCAGGCGCGACCGTCGTATACACAAGCGAGTAGTGGATAATACCTTTCTCTTTCTCCCTCATTCTTTTCGTTCTCATCGTCAAAACAATAATAAATATAGTAACAATGGCAAGTGAACTAACAAGTGACTTGAATGCAATTGACAGTGATAATAGTGGGAAATTATTCAGTGCAAAAGAATTAAATACGTAAGTATTAGTTTATTTATAAATATAAAATATTTTACATTGGTTAATATTGTGTGTACATACTAAAATCTTTGTAAGGTTTTTTAGGTTATCTTTCTTGCTGTTTTGAGGGTCATACGGAAAAATTGAGCAAAAAACTACGAAACTTCATAGAGATTATATATATATATATATGTGTGTGTGTGTGTGTGTGTGTGTGTGTGTGCGTGTGTGTGAATATTTCTTTTTAAAAGTTAATTCTGTCCTAAATATATATACATGTTATTAATAATTCTATTTATATTTAATCATTTTTAGTACTGCAAAACCACCAAAAACCAAAGCAGAGTATCAAAAAGCGTATAGACAACGCGAAAAAGCTAAAAAAAAATGAAAATAAGCAAGAAAGGTACGCTATAAAGCAAAGATATCCTCTAAACTAATGAAAATATTTAAATAATTAAAACAAATTCTCCCTTCAATTCCAAACATTTAAATATATATATATATATATTTTGATAATTCTACCTATTTTACGTAATTTATTATTTCCTAAAATACTGAATTTCCTAAATACTTTCCTGTACTTAAATAAAAACTAATCAGCAAAATTTAAGAGAAAAATCAAGAAAACCTACATAAAATTGAGCACGATTTTTTTTTGCAAATTGTGTCGATTCTACATTAGCCGAAGGAACTTCGTTCCTACCTGGTGTCCCACGACACCACATCTTTTTTATTCCGTAAAAAGGCACTAAGTAATTTTTTGAAAAATATTATATATATTTATATTAATTTAATGACCTGCTACAAAAAGGAACATATGCCATGAAACAAAAACAAAAATGATTAAGTTAAATTTGTTTCCCCTAATTCGAAATCGATATCATCTGAAAAACCCTCCACATAAAGTTCACAGTTTACTCCCCGTAAGTTTTTGTAAAAGAGTTTTGCATCCTCGGGAATAAAAGGACATAGTGTTTCTAGATCTACCAATTTTTTACGCGATATTGTTTTTCCATTGGGCCATAATGTAGACAATTTTCCAAAATTTTTAGAAGTCTTTTGCTTTTATGCAACAAAACTTCATTGTAGATTTTCCTGATTATTTGTCATAAAAATAGAAAGCGGTTTATCTTTAGTAAGTTTAATCACTCTTGTTTTCAAGCGTTTAATTTTTTGTTTGTAATAAATAATAATAATAATAAATAAACTTTATTTCCAACAGGTTTTACACCCACTTACAGGAAATAATAAAATTAAACTATATGTGATTGAGAGAGTACATAAGTTACATACTTAATTTAGAAATTATTATAAAAAAGAAAAAAGAATACATTAATAAAGAGAAACCGGGATAAACTGCACCAAAATTAAGTAAAACTTCCTAAATTTAAAGACCAAATTCTTCAATAACAGCACAGCTTAACGAACTCGCCTTGTCAAAATTAATATCAAACTTCCTACATATTTGGTTATAGTAATTACACATTAAAGATATGGGGGATTTATACATAGCATTGGTTCTATTGAACGAACTATAAAAAGTATAAACATGCCGTGTGCCTTGACGCGGAATAGCAAAATTTACTTCATTTAAAAGTGATGAACAGTTAATTTTATAATTAACTAAATTATACAAAAATCGGACTATCAATATTATTCTTCTTGTACTCAGCGAGTTAATATTAAACCTAGAAAGTAAAGTCCCATGATCGAAGCCTCTTGCAGGGTACGAGCCGTCTAAGAGCAAACACACAAATTTTAAAAATGATCTTTGAACTGATTCAATGAATACAATATGTATTTTGTATATAGGAAACCAAATAATTGCTTCATACTCTAACCTACATCTAACTAAAGAAAAAAACAGCAGAAATAAAGTACGTATGTCAGAAAAATCACGACAATTCCTATATATAAACCCATAAGTTCTAAAAGCTTTTTTGACCATGTCTTGTATGTGTCCAACAAAAGTAAACTGATTATCAAACAAAATGCCGAGGTCTTTGATATACTCTAAACGATTTATATTGACTGAGTTAATATTATATGGATAGTTAATGGTTTGTTTTTCTCTAGAATATGTTGCAACATTACATTTAGAGACATTTAGCGACAGTCGATTCAAGTTGCACCATCTCAAAACTGCATCAAGGTTCTCTTGTAAAGCTTCACCGTCCTCTGTCCATTTAATTTCAGCATACAATTTATAATCATCGGCAAATAAGAGACTTTCACAAGTAACAACTTCTGGCAAATCGTTAATAAACAGCAAAAAAAAGGAAAGGTCCTAAATTGGACCCCTGGCGTACTCCCGAAGATGGTGAAAATGTCGAAGAAGTATAGTTGCGATATCTCACATACTGTTGTCTACCAAGCAAATAAAACTTTAACAAAGCTAGTAGTTCCGCAGAAAAACCCAAGGCATTTAACTTGTTAAGCAAAACAAAATGATCAATCTGATCAAGGGCTTTTTGGAAGTCCGTATACACCACATCAACTTGACTGTTATTGTCAATAGCTTTAGATACAAATTGCGATAGGCAGGCTAAATTGAAGATTATAGATCTTTTCTGTACGAAGCCGTGTTGAACTGGAGTGATCAAATGACTAACAGATGAATAAATGCGCTTATATATAATAGACTCGAAAACTTTAGCAAAATTGCATATTAAGCAAACTTGCCTATAATTTTTTACATTGGCTTTGTCACCCTTTTTAAAGATTGGACAAATAGCAGCATTTTTCCATTGAGATGGAACCGAAGATTGCCGAAGTATTAAATTGAATAGCAAATACAACGGGTTAGCAAGAACCGATGCACAGTCTTTCAAGAAGAAATAAATAATAAATAAATAAATAAATATATTATTAATATCCAACAGACATTAGTGTCTAACAGGATTAATGTAAGAGTTATATAAATACAAAATATCAATATAGAAGACATATATAAATATAAATATAAAGAAGACTTAGCAAAATAGTAACACATAAAACTACGAACTAACAACCAAGGACGCTTTTACATTGTGAACAAAATTTTTTAATATCCAACGTAAATATATCGACCTCCGGTATGTTATTATAACATCCACATATATTATTTAGTGGGGCATTCATGTGCTGATTTGTTTGACAAATGCTAAGAGCAAAAGTTAATGGACAACGGGAAATTAATCTAGGCACATGAAATTTGATCTGATTAACAAGACTACTACAACTAATAACGCCATTAATTAATTTAAATAAAAATAATACATTTGCGAAAGTTCTTCTTGCTTTTAATGAGCACAAGCCAAAAGCCGATAATAATACTGGATGACTGAATGATCTTACAGGATAAACACGGTACTTAATAAAATAAAGTCGCTTCCAATACTTCCGTTGAATACGTTCTAAGTTATTAATATGAACATTATACAACGGATGCCATACCATGGAACAATATTCTAATTTGGATCTCACGTACGCAAAGTAAAGAGAGAGTAAAACATCAATATTAGTGAAATGCAGGGTGTTTCTATAGATAAAACCAGACATTTTCATAGCATGATCAGTAATATAGTTTATATGTGGTACGAAGGACAACTGCGAATCTACAATGACACCAAGGTCTTTTATTTGACTGACTGTAACAATTTCAGTATTGTTTAACATATATTGATACAGAATGTTAGTGTTTGACCTAGTAAATCTTATAAGTTTGCATTTTTTCTAATTGATGATTTGACCGTTGTTATCACACCACACTTTAAAATTATCTAAATCAGATTGTAAGGTACGACAGTCATCAAGGTTAGAGATACAATTCGCTACTTTTAAGTCATCAGCGTATACGAACACCTGACATTTAAATTGTAAGAATACATCATTAAAGAAGATTACAAACAGAATAGGTCCCAAGTTTGAACCCTGTGTAACACCACTAGAAGTAAGATAGTTGTAGGAACGAAATCCACGATATTCGACATATTATTCACGATTTAGCAATAACGATCTGAATAAATTTAATAAGTTATTACATATACCAAAAGACAAAAGCTTATTAATAAGAACATCATGTTTAACAGTGTCGAACGCCTTTGACAAGTCTGTGTATATAACATCAACTTGGGTTCTTGCTTCAAGCGCGTTAGATATAAATTAGACATATTCGCAAAGGTTAGTGGATGTCGATCTACTCTTTATAAATCCATGCTGACAAGTACTGATCATGGGTGATACATGGCCATACAAAACGTTCGATAGGATGGATTCGAACAACTTCGAAAAATTCGATTTGATAGCAATCAGTGGCGGCTTCTCAGGTGAGGCAGGTGAGGCAGGGCCTCACCATACATAATCATAAAAAATGTTTTTCTTCCATTAGTATGAAAAATGGATTTTTTTGTACGGGGGAATTTAAAATTACCGCGACAACTGAACTTTCTATGCCAACCACAAAATAAAAGCGCAGCGTTATTCTAACCAATCATGTATTTTCATGCGTTGAGGCCGGCCTCACGGGTTGATTAAAATGTGGGAATAGGAGGCTCGATGTTTTTACAACGCACAGTATTACCGGTTCCGTTTATTATGGGAATCAAATGCTTTAGGACAGATAGTTTTGAGGCCGGCCGCAGCTCTTATCTGATTGGTTCTCCTTCTTAGCTCAGTCCACATGCACG